CCCAGGTAAACGGCCCTCGTGCTGAGCTCCCACCCCACCGGGCCCGCGTGCCGGGGAACATCCGAGAGGGAGGGAGGGCCCTTTCTGGCACCTGGACCACATGAGCTTGAGCGGAAGGCGCCCCTGGTGGGAAGAGGTTGGGGAAGGGGTCGGGGAGGGCAGGTCAAGGGACCTGTAGCATCACAGAGCGACTCCTGCACAGGGTCTCCCCAGGGCCTACCCAGGACATGCGGGCCACCCACTCTCGGTTTCTGGGACATACTGCCATCTCAGTCACTTCCTAGGTGGTTAATTGCCATGGCAACTCTAAAGCCACTCTTGAGTCACCTGTCACCTGCCGGTGTCCACCCTGTGTCCAGGCCACGGTTAAAGCCCACACTTCCTTCTCGTCACCTTCCTGCTGTCCGCACCTAGCCGCCTCCTTGCCATGCAAGGCCACTGAAGCCATCTGGCCACCACCTAGCCACCTTTCTCCTTCCACCCATTTTTAAATGTGGTCTGCCCTTCTACGTGAGGCCCAGGCCCTCCACTAGCCCCTTCTCGGGGACGGCCGCCTGCGGGGCTCCCACCCCAGGCTCCTCCCCACTCTGCTTTCCTTCGCTGGCCCTGCAATGCTCCTGGGGCTTCCGATCCTGGGGAAACTCACACACCAGAAGACTGCTGGGGCCCACCCTTAGCCCTGCCGAGCTTCGGTAAGGAGCTCAGTGAGGAGCTTATCCAAGACTCCCCTGAGACTGTTCCAGAGAGGACGTGGTACGACTGGAGTGTTCGCCTTTGTTCTTGTTTTTATTTTTATTTTCGAGGCCACGTTTCATACGCTGAACAAAGATCATTGTTTACCCATCTTCTTGGTCACTGCACCTGGTTCTACAGGTGGATGCTGTCCTTGGGCCAAAATCTAAGTGCTTGGAATGTTCAACCACAACAGATCAAGTTTAAGGTCCCTGCTAAGCCAGAGGTTGGCAAACTTGTTCTGTAAGGGGCCGGGTTTGATCCAGGAGCCTTGGTTTGCTGACCCCTGTCCTGAACCCATGCAAAACTGCTGACGTTACCGCCCAAATACCTGGACATGGAGCTGAGAGGTGGCATTAGGGAGGGAGTCGCATCGCCCACAGGAGCCGAGTGACAGAGGTACGGGTTTGGTATGTGTAGCTCCTGTTAACACCAGGCCAAGGAGGGAGTCCCCAGTGGGCCCCAAACTTCAGGGGAGAAACGAGAGGAGTAGCACAAGCCCTGGCTCTGGGGACAGCCTCCTTTCCTGCCATCGAGAGGCAAATGCAGACGCCCAGGCCGTGCGGGGCCTAGAGTTTTCCCAGGAGGGTCAGGGCCTGGGATGGCTCAGCGAGTCCTTGGTGAGTCTCCACAAGGTGAGAGAACCCAGCCCTCGTCCCCGCCTGGAAAAAGCAAAGCCACCAAGAGTGAGAAAGGTAAGTCTGAGTATTGCCCTGCAGGGCTGGAACGGGAGAAGCAGGAGACAGAGCTGGCCCTGCTGCTGCCACCCCTACCCACCAGTCACATGCAGGCACATGCACACGCATGCGCGCGTGCACACACACACACGTGTGCGCACACGTCAGGCGCTGGCAGCCACAGCATCCAGGCTAACGGGCGGGACAGAGGCATGCAAGTCCGGACAGTGCCCCGGACAGCGGCTCCCATCACTCCCTCCGCGGGGGTTCTTGTTCCCGGAAAGGAAAGCACGTCACACATTAGGCACAGTGTCCCCAAGATCGCGTCTGCCCGTTCCTCCGCATGGCGGTCTCAGGTCACTCCTCTAGTCGAATAAACTCCAGGTTTGTACTCCTCCTGCCCCACCAACCTCTGATCTCCCAAATAACACTGCTTCCCGAAGACCAACGTCACGCCTGCAGAAGCGGGGGGCGGGGGAGGGAGAAAGCCAGCAGGAGCCGGGGCTCCGGTGGGGACGGGGGACTCGTGCGCTTGGTGGGTGGGTACTGTCCACGTCCTCAAATGCATCAGGATGCGTATTTTCACCAGAAGTGAGAACTTGTGTGTACGTATGAATACATACACGCCCCCCCATGCATGTGCTTAACACGCGCAAAGGCAAAGGCACGCTGACTGCAGGCTGTTCGGCCAGGAGCGGGGAGACAGCCGTCATTCAGGATGGGAGCTTCTAGCAATACTTTTCTACAGGTGCAGTCAGATTAAAGATCAAAAAGGGTCGAAGGAAAAAAATAGCCATGCAAGGGCGGGGCGGGAAGCGCACAAGGGGCAGGACACTGTACGC